GACAGAGGAGCAGAGTTCGAAATCCGGCAAAAAATCCAGTTGGCCCAATCTTAAAGACTTCTAAAAATGGAGTCAGTAGTCAACAAATAAAGTACAGTATTTTTATTGGGAGTGTAGGATCCCCTGCAGATTTAGAAGATCTCAAACGCTAATAGTACAAAGTACAGTATTTTTATTGGGACTGGAGGATCCCTCGCAGATTTAGAAGATCTCAAACACTTTTGGAAGCCGCCATGGAAGCGAAGAGAGAAGCAGAAGAAAAAATAACAAAACAGTATACAAATATAAACAAATGTTACATATAGTCCAACAAAAACAAAAAGCTGTACTTTCCCTCCCTATTTTATCCTATTATACATATGGCAACTTTCCCATCTTGTATACATTTTGGGAGCATGATCAACAAGTACGCGTCAATGTCGCCCAAAAGAATCACCACATGAAGTAGGGTTCCACAACACCTATTATGGAATCGTAACAACATGTGATGATTCTTTCGGCGATATTCAGACGGCGACTTATTGTCATTGCTCCCCTCCCTGCCTCTAACAAAGACCCTGCATGGAGAGAAAAGGAGAAACAATACAACGGAGGATTTAGTTTAACAGTCATGATCTAACAATGACATAACGAAAGGAAATGAGATCTAAAATAATACGCAGTCTCATCATTACCACTGCACCCGAAAATAAAGCATGGGATAGGAGGACGAAGAGGCGGATGGGGTTGATTTTCGGAGCATGATCAACAAGTACGCGTCAATATCGCACAAAAGAACCACCATATGACGTAGGGTTCCACAACACCTATTATGGAATCGTAACAACATATGATGATTCTTCCGGCGATATTCAGACGACGACTTATTGTCATTGCTCCCCTCCCTGCCTCTAACAAAGACCCTGCATGGAGAGAAAAGGAGAAACAATACAACGAAGGATTTAGGAGGACGAAGAGGCGAATGGGGTTGATTTTCGGAGTTTCATATTGAGAAGATGGAAGAAAGGGTTCTTTTCAGGGATTGAGAGGAGGAGGAACGAACAGCAGCAGGAGATGAGTGCCACTCGGGTTTCGGAGCACGGTCTCTCCTTCACTGATTAACGAATTTAAAGATTGACTCGTAATTACTTTTACTTTCCCTCCCTTCACATTTACTGAAAATTACACTCCCTACCACTGCCTCGGCCTTGGTAACGCCAGCATTGGTTATGGGCAAAAGCGACTTTCCGAATTCGACAATATCTGATTGGGTGACACGCACGCGACAAGGATCGAAGGTATTTCACCATCGGATTAAGGGAAAAGTTTAGGAATTGACGGTGGGAAATGGGGATATGCTTTTATAAATAGTCTGAATTTGTAGATTAACCAACTTTTTTGTTTACCAACATTACTCTATTGATCTGGTTTATGTTATTCTAGCTTGAATCATAACCCTAAACCCTAAACCCTAAACCCTAAACCAAACCCTAATACACGAACCAATCAATACCATATACTCTACAACAATAACAACACCTTATAGGCTTATACCGTAACCAATCAATAACATATATACTTTAAACCATCAACACCTTGCTCCTCCCTTATACCATAACCTTCAAGACCTTATACTGTATACCAACAACACCTTCTTCTATCTCCATCCCCAACTTTCAATTTATAATAAGTGTTTCCTTTGAAATATAAAATGGAACCCACCTTGGCAATTGCTAGCATAATTTAGGGATGTAGATGAATAGAAATTGATAAGTGATGAATTGCTAAAATTGAAGATGTTGCGGTAGGGACCTTGTTTAGAAATTGTTGTTCAATTTTAGGGATGAAGATGATCAATACACTAACCCAATACCATATACTCTAAACCATCAACACCTTATACAATACCATATTTTAGGGATGGAGATGATCAATACACTAACCCAATACCATGTACTCTAAACCATCAACACCTTATACAATATCGTATACCTATACGTTGATAAATTAAAATTATAACTTGCTTTTCAAAACATAAATTAAAAATTGATGCTCACTAAGTATCGAACCACAAACCTCTACTTTATTGACTAAGCAAATAACGGACAATTAACCAATTAAGCTACATCACATTGATGACCATTTTGCATAATTTCGCTTTCTTATTAAGTGAAGGGTTAAAATGAACGATAAATATATCACAGGGGATTGTTTCAACTTCGGCGGGGACTGAGAGAGTGGAAAAGGGGTAATTATTCTACCAAAAAAAAAAAGAAAAGGGGGAATTAACGAAGAGTTAAATTGGACGGATTGTCTTTAGCACGCCACTACAACCCAAAATCCTTTGGAGCAAAGACGTGTTGGTTCAAGTCAAAGAATAAATGAAGAAAGATGAAGTTAAGAACTCTAACTAATTTTGATTCCATATGTGGCGAATCGCTAATGGGCGAGATAACCAACATGGCAAAATCGTTAATGAGAACCTACTTTGCACACACCAAATCATTTTATCTCGTACCGATAAATGTGTAAAGAGACACGCTACAATAATTATGTCTAAATTTCCTGATAATAAGGCATGATCAGCATTTATAAGAAGATGTTAAGACAATATAAAATCGAGAAAAATAAAACAACACCTACCCTCAGCCGAATCAATCAATACAATATGCTCTGGACCATCAACAATTCAACACCTTATAAACCATCCCATATACCATATACTCTAAACCATATACCATATACCATATACTCTAAATCATCAACAACCTAATACACTAACCAGTCAGTAATCATTAACTTAACCATAAACACCTTATACAATAATCGCATACCTATACGCTGATAAAATTTTACATTTTGAAAATACTTGCCCAAGTAAAGTACACAAGTACTTCAAAAGCGAAATTCTAACTTTCGTTTCAAAACATAAATTTAAAAAATGTCCTCACTAAGTATCAAACCACACGTCTCTAATTAGTCTACAAGAGGTTTGTTATGTCAAGAGGGGCAAACAGTGAGAGAGTGGAATAGGGGCAATTAATAAAGAGTTAAATTGGGCGGATTGTTTTTTTACCTCGTACCGATAAATGTGTAAATAGACACGCTACCATTTACCGAATCCCAAAAAAAAGATGGAACACATAATAATTGTGTTTAAATTGCGTGAACGCAAGACATGATCAGCGTTTAGAAGCAGAAGCAGACGCAGACGTAAATAAAAGCCCAACCTCTTCACAATCCGGATCATGTACACAAGCCCACTTTTGAAGGGAATTTAAAAGCCCAACTAGACTTTGTCCTAAACGCACCGTTAATACATAAACACAAGTTAAGGCGACCTCTCCATCTGATTCGAATCAAATTCTGTCTTCTTCCATCTTCTTCCTCAATTAGGTCGAAGACTGTGTTGCTTATTTCATCTTCAATTTGTGTAAATTCCAGTCGGAAATAAAATGGCGAAGAACAAAACGTCGATTGTGGATACAAGGAAGCGATGATTATGTGGAGATTTTAGATTCCGGTCGGAAATAAAATGGCGAAGAACAAAACGTCGATTGTGGATACAAGGATTTGTGGTTCATAATGATGATTATGTGGGGATTTTAGATTGAAAAGGGATCTTCTCTTCGAACGTGGATACATAGATTTGGGGTTCAAAACATGATGATGTTGGGGATTTGATATTGGATTGGGAGCTAAATCGAATGTCGATCAAATGATAAAAGGATTTGAGATTTAAGATTTCAGAAACGATGATAAAAGGATTATGTTCGAACTTCGAACTAAGAGGGGACGTCCCCTCCAAGACGAATGAGGGACTAGAAATTGGTTAGGGCGGCGGGTCGTATCCATAGGGTTTAACCTCTTAATCGATATAATTAAACCGGGTACAGTTAGGTTGAAGTCCAATGAACAACGCTTAAACGCTTCGTGATGCTTTTGGTAATTTTCCTTGCCCCCGGTTACCCGTACCCCGGATTTTGCCCTGGGCACCCTAGAACTGCCCATATATATATATATATATATATATATCGACATTTGTACTAACTTTAACTCTCTTGTCAGCAAGCATATTTATTAATATTGGATGCTTCTAATTAAATATGTCGATTTCACTAATAGTGATTAATCCGATTGACTGATTTTTTAAAGTGATAGACTACTTAATGAAAACGATAGACAATTTTCTCCAAATCACAATGATTTGTAAGTTGTAAGTCACCGTTGCAAATTTCAATTTTTTCCCCTTCCTACGAGAGGATTACTGTGGTATAATTCAATGCCCATTGGTCGTAATTGCCGAAGCATAAATTTGGGTAAAGTAAATTGAGTGGTTACCTTACACCATCTGTTCCCAAAATTTTGGGTTACATTTTTCGTTACTGAAGGAAGGGAGTGGGTGGGGCTTTTCTAGAACCCGAATATTCTCTTCAAGGTCACAAGCCCGCAACTGTACGTGAGCGTTGGGCCGTACTTGGGCCGGCACGGTATAAGTACGCTTCAGGCTCATTTATTTCGTGTCGTACTTAGCACGACTCGTCAGTTTTCGTGTCGTGTCATGCAAACCCATTTGCTAACTTTGCTAGGCTCGGCCTAGACCATGATACGGTTCGAATCGTGTCGTGTCTATTCGTGCTCGTGCCATGCTCGTATTCGTGTTTAATGAAAAGGACGAAAACAAAAGAGAGAATGAAAAAGAAGGTGAAAATTGGACGGGAGAAGATAGTATTAAGCGATAATATTTGAGAAAAGTAACAAATAAGAGGGAAAAGAAAATTGGAAGTACAGCAAGTGTGATTTGGCTTTGTTTAATTCTTTGTCCATTTTTACTTATGTTAGTAATTACGTATATATCTTTATGACACTTCTAACAACAACAAATTATTATTTTTCTACTTGTGTTTTGTAATATTTGAACCTATACTTCTTTTTATATTTATTTTCAATCAAATAAATATTATTTTCGTGTCATGTCCGTTCTTATACTCAATAAAATCTCGAAAATATTAGGCCTGACACGACCCACTTATATGTCGTGTCGTGCCCGTGCCCATAAAGTTTAAATCTAACACGACTCATAAATTATTTGTGCTCGTGCCGAACTGACCCATTTATTTCGTGCCCGTGCCGGCACGGCCCAGTGCCATGTACACCCAAAACCCGCCCCTCTCTCATTCTCCCATTTGGCGGTTGCCAAACACACGCCAAGTCAAGCGAGTAGGTCACTCATTCTCCCCAAAAAAAACTCCAGTGCCAGTACCTCCTCTCCTCTCCTTGTACCAAAACCACCACCAGCTCCCCCCTCCTTCCATCCCAAATTCCACCAAAAAGTCCATATCACGCCACCGATTCCTCGTGATTTGCCGCCGGGGATACAAAATTCTCCTCTCCACCATGTCCGCCGAGCACGACGACGCCGTGTTCGACCTCGACGACGATGACGAGTCCTCCCAGTCTCAGGACGACGACGACGATCTCGAGAACGATGGCGTCCTCGTCGTCGAAGAGGACGAGGAAGATCTCAATTCCGTCCCTTCCCCTTCCACCCCTTCCCCCGCCTCCATCTCCGCAGCGGCCTCCTCCCTCCCGATCGCCGTCCCTTCCGCCTCCATCGTCACCCTAGCCGCCGCTCCCAACGGCGCCGTCGATCCGCACAAACTCCTCCCCTCCGATTACTCCTCGGCCGCTGCCGTCCTCCCGGACGCGGTGAAGCGACCCCGCCTGACGCTCGTCCCGGTGTTCGAAGAGCAGCGGAAGCCGACTCCCCAGCCGCTCGACAAATCGCGCCAACTGTTCCAGCGGTTGTGGACAGACGAGGACGAGATCGAGCTGCTGCAAGGTTTCCTCGAGTACTCGAACCAGCGCGGCGGCGGGAGCCACCACGACACGGCGCTGTTCTACGACCAGATCAAGTCGAAGCTCCAGCTGGATTTCAACAAGAATCAGCTGGTCGAGAAGCTGCGGAGGTTGAAGAAGAAGTACCGGAACGTCCTGAACAAGATCGGTTCGGGGAAAGAGTTCTCCTTCAAGACCGCTCACGATCAGGTCACGTTCGAGATCTCGCGGAAGATCTGGAGCACTACGGGAAAGCTCGCGAGCGTCGAGGATGGGAATTTGGACGACGATGAAGGGAACCCTAATCTCAACAATAACAACGATGGCGGTGGCGGTGAGGATCAAAAGTCCACGCCTCGGCCGCGAAAGCGCTCCCGATCTCGCTCCCTAGCCGCTCCTCTCACTCTCACCGCCTGCGGTGGCGGTGGTAACAGCATCGTTGCCGCTGTGGCCGCCACGGCCGGCGGAGGAGGCAACCTTGGGGGTAAAGTGGATGATAAGCGTGTAGTGGTTAACGATGGGGTTGTTTCCAATAACAACGACGTGAGCAGTAATGCTCATAGCAATGTGAATGTGAATGTGCCTAGTTTGATTGAGGAGACTGTGAAGAGTTGTTTGTCGCCATTGTTTAAGGAGTTGTTGAGCAATGCTATGGCCGCTCCTGGGGCTTCGTCTGGGGGGAGAGGAATTGGGGGATTGGCCATGAATGCATTTCCATTGAGCTTCGGAGGAGTGGAGATGATGGCTGATGAGAAGTGGAGGAAGCAGCAGATATTGGAGCTCGAGGTATACTCGAAGCGATTGGAGTTGGTTCAAGACCAAATTAGATCACAGTTGGAGGAGCTGCGCTCGGTGGGTCGGTAATCTAATCGGTTGATGAATTTGGAGTAAGTTTGCAGCATAAAAAGAGTTTCCTTTTAGCTACTGGAGGTGTTTGAATGACTATGTAGGGGAAGCAGGAGCTAAAAAGCATCGGCATTTTTTATCAGAACCTTTCTTTTTTATGTGTTTGGGTTAATATTATTAGTTATCTGGTCTTCTTTTCCCGGGTTTATTTGACAGAACCAGATGTTGAATAACTAGTCTCTGATTGATCTTAGTGTCTAGAGCTCATAGTCTCTGTTCTACATTGTAGATAATCGCTTGATGCGTAGATTGGTAATCACTAATAAAGACTTGGACTTGTTAACTTAATTACTGCAGTTTATGTAAGCTTCCTTTTCCTCTGCTGTAATCATGTGAAGGGCTTCTTGTTCGTTCTCGCCTTTCTCCTCAGCTTTCCTCAGGACTCTCAATTTGCAACCTTCGATTATCATAATAGTTTGTCTATAGTGTGTACAGGCTGAACGACTGATAATTTACCTCCTGTGGCTGTGGGATTGCATGTTGACCATTCTGAGTTGCATCCTGATTTCATTAGGTTCTCTTTCTGCCTCTCTGCAATGTTCATTTCTGGCTGGCCATTCACTTGGTCATTAGAAGAGCAGAATCTGCAGTTTCGCGTTGTGTCTCCTTTTGTGCAGATGGAATTTTTTCTCCTGGTCGAGTGACTGAAAGCTAGCTGCTCGTATGTGATTCGCTATGGAAACTGTTTCATGTCGGCTGTTTCCGGGCTATCTCTTCTCTAGTAATGCTGTTATGATCTGTTTGTTTATTTTGAGGCTTAACAGGTTGCGGAGAATCGTAAAGTGTTGGTCCTGCCTTGTAAAGCTCATCTGATCTTGGCTGAGGCTGGTGTTGATGTTAGGTTAGCAACTGCTTCATTCAGGTCGGGTTTGCTTTGGTATAGCTTAGCTACTTGGAAATGGAACAGCAAAAGGCACTTTTTGATTCTCCATCTCTTGACCTTTCTTTTCCTCAACTTTCAATGTTTTGCTCTTTTTATATGCCAATCTTTTTCACAATTTTGTGTGTTTGCATGATGGTTTCTGCCTGGTGTGTTTCATTTTCCTCCCCTGCCATTTTCTTTGTATACGAAGTTCAATCAAATAACATACCTCCGTTACTTTTTTTTCTTGTTCCTCCTAGCTCCTGTGTTCCAGTGGTGAAGGATTCTTCAAGCATTTGTTGATGTCCTTCAACTATGTCCAATTATGAAATCTATTGCTGACGGGGGTAGCACCTTGTACGATTGTGAAATTGTGATCCTTGCAAAACACGGATGAATAACAGCCGTCTTGTTTGTGTGCTCATGATTTTCTTCAACTGGACTGCTGGTTGTGGTCTTCCTTGAGGAGCTTTCTCTCACTGCCCGGCTCTATTCAGCGGCCAAGCTGGAATGCCAAACGTGAAACGACTACCTTGATTGATAAAACTGACTAAGCGAAAGGCAGCGCCTAAAATTAGGGGTAGATCCACCCACAAATAATCCGACCTGCAAACCGTGTGTGATTGATGTAGATGGATTGCGGATTGATAAATCTCCCATACCCACTTATGTGGGTGGGTGGTGGGTGGATTGTGGGTCACCCGAATGACATGCATTCTATTTTCACATGAAAAAATAATAATATTTGTTTGACTAATATTATTGGTTATTGTGTTGTCTAATATCCATTACATTTGGATATTGTAATGTAAATTATTGTTAATATCCATTAAATATTAGGATGAAAACTATAAATTATTAATTTAATCAAAATTACAAAATGCGTAAGTTTACTCTACACAATTGGTTGATAGAGTAGTAAATTTTTTTTATACAAATACTACATGGATTCGCTTGAAGCAAAGTGAGAAGTGTTTAAATTGATACAGTCTTACTAATTTACTATGAACTTATTATAAATGTTAGTCAACTTTCTTAATGGCTAGTTGGAGAATTGTTTTTGCAGGTTAACCCCCACGATCCAACTGCACTCATCCGTCACCCTCACAACCCGAACCGTAGAAAAATGTGGGTGGATTACGATCACAATTATTTCAATTCGCTAGTAAGTGGGTGTGTCAATTTGAATGAAAATTCATCCAACCCGCCCATTGCCCACCCCTACCTAAAACTCAAAAGTAAAAAGTGAAAAGACATATAGGGGAAGGCAAAGGTGATTGGTGTAAAGTTTTGTAGGGTAATTGAAACTGGTACCATCAAAGTTTTAGGTATGTTGAATGTTGACCACCTAAATTTTCTGTTTTTTTTTTCTTATGCCACAAAACGGAGTGCTTGCAGGTATTTCAATCGTTGACCATCAACAAATCGGTGAGTCTCAACTCAAATAAGATCAAAGACATCTAATGATTTAGCAAAGGGTCAGGTGTAACTACAATATGGTTACCAACGGCAAACCATGGTCTATCGAAGCGAGATAGTCTGCAACCACATTCCCCTTTCTGAAGACGTAAACCTGTTGAACGTGCCACTCCTGACCAAGAAGTTGATGGGCCGCGCAGATCAAGACAAAATGAGGGGTCGTTGCTCGGCATCCCGAATCAGCTGGAGAGCAACTTGTGAATCTGTCTGAACAACCCTTATCGATACCATACTACCCAAGTCAGTTGCGGAGCACAACACCTGCTAATTCAGCTCTTGTAATTGAGACATTACCCAAGTTCATCGAGTAAGCATGTAGGAGGTGACTATCATCCTCCCTATTAGCTCCTCCTGATGTTGCTTGCCCCTCATCACTGACTTGTTCGAGTTTAGCACCACCCAACCATGGGAAAGGAGGTACCCACTTTATCATCTATACCGGAGAAATGTTTTGTATCATTTTAAATACAAAATCTAAAGGATAATGACTATTTATTAGCCAATTTTTTTTCGGATTCTTTTTTATTAGCCAAGCCTATCGAAATACTAAGAATTAACCAAATGTTAACTTTCAGTTAGCAATTTTGTTAGTAATATTGACTTGGCAACATGATACTGACCTGGAAGAGACACATGAAGGTCAACTCTCCAAACTTTTAGTATTTAACTAAGAAAAAGAGTTACAAAATTATTAATGATAACGTAAAATAACTAATATTTTGATGCATTACAAAAAATTTGATTAAATAATAACATTTTAATAGATTTAGATAATATAAAAGAATTAAAAAAAATTTGAATAATAAAAATAGAGACAAAATATAAAAAAAGGTAAAAATAAAAATGTACCGCTCTCTTCCTGATTGGGCTCTTTCTTACCCAAGTCTTCCCCGTTTCTCATCAAAACACCCGCTCTTGCTCTTCCCCTCTTCACTCTCATTCTCTCTCCCTCTCTGCGTATTTCTCCGGACTCCGATCCCCAACTTGATCTCCCCTCCGATCTCCAAAACCCTAACATTTCCCCCCGGTTTCTTCCCATTTCATCCCTCTCCTCTCGCCTTCCTCCCCATGCAAAACCCTAATCGGACTCCCTTCAGATCATCTGATCTCATCTATTGACGCAATTCATCTCCTTTCCGGCCGACTAGATCCACTCGCCTTTGTTCCCCTCCGGTACCATCCCTAACCTTACGCTCTGCTCGTTTCAGCTTCGCTCATTTCGGTTGAGTTCAGAATTCGATTGCTCTGCTTGCGTTATGTTTCTGTTTCTTTAATTTTTAGTTGAATTGGAATTCTATGGTGTTTTGATCGTTTCCCCCCCGGTTTCTTGTTCTGGTTTTTGAATTGTTCTGCCGATGTGTTGAATATTGGTTTTGAAGACTCGATTCTGCTCGCTTGGGAATTGTGGAAGTGAGGAATTGATATAGCCGCATTTGATTGTTGGGTGGTGGCAGGAAAGGGGGAATTCTGGGTGTTCTATCTGTGAAGTTTAGATTGATTGATCAGTAAGAAGACATGGCAGCTCCTGTGCCTCCAGGGGCACCTAGACAACAACCGCCTACTGGACCACCGCCGAATTTTCAGCAGAATCCAAATGCCTTAGCTGACAATTTTCAGAACATGAACCTTAATCGCCCGCCCAGTTCAAATACTAGGCCACCTCCCTTCGGTCAGCCACCACCATTCTCATCCTCTTCGCCTGCATCACCAATGACGAGACCTGGTCCATTCCCTTCCGGTGCAACTCTTAGGCCTGCCTCAGGATCTCCATCACCCACATTGCCACCAAATATGGCCCCTGGTAGACCCAGCGGCCCACCATTTGGCCAGCCTCCTCCATTTGGTGCCAGACCTCCTCCTCCGGGGGCATTCCCTTCTTCAATGCCTCCCTCTGCTGGGTCTCCTCCTTATGGAGCACCACCTCCGGTTACTCGTCCATCTCCAGTTGCTTCTTCATCTCCCGTGAACATGGGGCCTTCTGGTGCTCCAAGTGGTTTTATGAGTAATGGGCCACCTGCACCCGCTTTCCAGGCTGGACAACGGTTTGCTCCTCCTGGTAGTTCTCAGCATCAACCTCCCATGGGTGCTCCTCCAGCTATGGGGCCACCGGCACGTGGCCCTCCTCAAGCAGGGGCTATGCGTCCTTTCATGGGGAGTCCTGGAGCTGGTGCTTCGCAGGTACTTCCACCATCAGGAATGGGTCAAGCTGCACCTGCCTTTGGGGGACCACCTCAAGCGATGTTGGGATCTGTAGCTTCTCCTTATGCACCACAGATGCCTTCACAACCAGTGAGTATTTAAGCATATATTCTTTTGTGAAATATAGTGTTATTATACTACACTGCTGGAAGTTTGTTTTTGTGATTTAGCTACTGATTATAGATGCAGACTGTTTGGCAATAGTAAAGAGTTTGTGAAATTGTTATTATTCCTTTTTTTTTCCTTCTTAAATGGTAAGCAGATGAAAGCTGGATTATTTCTGGTGAAACGAATGCTCCATCTATCAATGACATTTTTTCATATCATTCACCAGCATGTTTCTGAACCTGACGTATTAATGATAGAATGGGAATGACAATAGTATAGTAGTGTGATTGCCTCATGATTATAAATGATCAGTGTTGTCTTTTTATTAGCATGTGATTCATGTGTTCTGAATCTTGACACAATTATATCATGGGTAATATAGGGGGTACCTCCAATGCCAGGGTCTATGCCACCACCTAGAATGTATGGAATGCCACCACCAATGCAGAATCAAATGACTGCTATCTCACCTGTTATTGGCCAAACTGGTGGTACACAGCCAGGGGCGTCAAAGATTGATCCCAATCAAATTCCAAGGCCAATCCCAAGTTCATCTGTCATCTTGCATGATACTCGTCAGGGCAATCAGGCCAACCCACCTCCGGTAGTTAATCGTAAATGACCTTGTCTTTTTCATTATATATATATTCCTGTCTAGTTACAAACACCAGCATTTTTCATGGTTGCCTGATAATGTGCTTTCTACTTGAAAGCCGGCAACGAGCGATTACATAGTTCGGGACACAGGGAATTGTAGTCCACGCTACATGAGGTGCACCATTAATCAGGTTATTTTAAGCTTTTGATGTTTGCAGATGCTCTGCACTATTTAAAGTTAATTTCAGTGGAAGTAATTAAAGCACTTACGTGATCTACGACTTTAAATATGCAGATTCCGTGCACTGCTGATCTTTTGACGACATCTGGCATGCAGCTGGCTTTATTGGTCCAACCTTTAGCCCTTCCCCATCCATCTGAGGAGCCTATCCAGGTAATGCTTGTATTCTTCCTGTGGATGCCTCTGGGACGGAAATTTTCTTCTGTCCTGAAACAGGGGAAGTTTGTTAGGTTTATTTCTCAGTGCAATAGAGATCCTTGCTCCGAAGCGAGGATGAACATGTGAAGCCATTTTAACTGAGTCTCCAGAGCAAACTGAAATGATTAATATGCAGTACCCTCTGGTATTTTTGCTTAAGATGTTTGATGATTGCCTGTGACCTTCAACTTTGACTTCTATTATCCACCTTTGATGCGGTTTCATTTCTGAAAGGGAATTGCTGTTGTGTTGATTTACTGTTTGCTTTTCCCCCCCAAATAAATACTTCCGGTTGCAAGCCAGTGACCCAACTAAAGTTGCATTTATTCACATTTCCTGGTTATAGATTGTTGATTTTGGAGAAGGTGGTCCCGTTCGTTGTTCTCGTTGCAAAGGCTATATAAATCCTTTCATGAAGTTCATTGATCAGGGGAGGCGTTTCATCTGTAATTTGTGCGGTCAGTATGCATATAATCCTCTTTTCTTAGTTCAGCATATGGATTTTCTGGATGTTTTCAGCAACGTTCCTGCTAATGATTAGATAGAGGAAAAGTTATTTGGACATCCTTCACATTCCATCTTCCTTTCTTATTGACCCTTTTGGGTGTCTGGCGTGTGCCTTACCACTTTGTGACCTCCTGCTTTCATAGGTTTGCTTCTGTTTTAGTGGCGTTATGCCAGTTGTTAGGTCTGTTACTTGTGGGGCAAACTATTGTTTTGTTTACTTTTTTTTTGCATATCTTTAGTGGAATAATGATTCATAGGAATAAAGTTGATCTTGAAAGTGTTCCTCTATTCATTGACATGGCACATTTTATTTTACTGACAAGATGTGCCTTGCTCTGAAATTCCCTGTTTCATGGCAGGTTTCACTGATGAAACACCTCGGGACTATCATTGCAATTTAGGTCCTGATGGTAGGCGTAGAGATGCTGACGAAAGGCCTGAATTGTGTAGGGGGACAGTTGAATTTGTTGCGACAAAGGAATATATGGTCTCATTCTTTCTTTGCGGAATCTTTACTTCTTTTGGTTCTTGGTTTCCCTTTTATTTAGAGCTTGTATGTTGAAGAATTCACTTGTATGGTCTATTTTTCTTTTTCACTGGTTCTTGTATGCATGATTGATGGCTCTGTTTACTCTTGTTTCAGGTGCGTGAACCAATGCCAGCTGTTTATTTCTTCCTTATTGATGTGTCCATGAATGCCGTTCAAACTGGTGCAACTGCTGCAGCTTGCAGTTCAATTAACCAAGTTATTGGTGATCTTCCGGTGAGTACTGTATCCATTTGCAGGATTTGGTGGTGCCATCTTACTATGTCTCTCGTACAGGATGCTTGTCTGGATGCTTACTGTAAATCCATACTCATATTCTGATGCCGATTTTCTGGTCTGAGAAACACTTAGTTGATCTCTCAGCATGCACAGATTTTCTGAGATGCTATTGTACTTACTGAATGACTTCCTGTTTCAGGAAGGGCCAAGGACAATGGTTGGGATTGCAACTTTTGATTCAACCATCCACTTCTACAACTTGAAACGTGCGCTACAGCAGGTGAATCATTTCTCAGCCTTTGAGGTTTTGTGTTGGTTAAATGTTGTATCTTTGAGGATGTACCAGGGATTACTGAATGCTGATTGGTCTCTTAAGATATGGTTGCTCTCTGCTTGAGAACTGACCTATCATTTGAACTTCTAGATCCCCTGTCTCTTGTTGCTAATTATTTACATTTTTCACTCCATCTGACTCGTGTGAGTTGCTCGTGCATTTTGATTGTGGAAGCTTTTGCATCCGGCTCAACTTTCAACAAATTTAGTACGCTACATGTTTTGGGAGGTATATTGATACTGATCTGATCCCTCTCAATTTTCTGTAGCCACTAATGCTGATCGTTCCTGATGTACAAGATGTGTATACCCCTTTGCAAACTGATGTCATTGTCTCAGTCTCTGAGGTAAGTTGAAGATCATTTGGCCTTATAGCATAATCGGCCTAAACCTTGTTTACAGGAAATCTTTAGGAATTACATATTACTACTTGTAGCTGTATATGGTGTATTATCAATTGTAATTAATCTCTCTCATCTTTCTCTTGGATTTAGTGCCGTCAACATTTGGAACTGTTATTGGAAAGTATTCCAACCATGTTTGAGAATACTAGAACATCTGAGTCAGCTTTTGGTGCAGCAATCAAGGTACATCATTTAGTTTACAACTAATATATCATGTGTATTTATTGTGCATGAGAAAAATATTCTCATCTTGAGTTCATTATGTTAAATGAATGTTTAACGTACTCGTGTTGGTTAGAAATTACATGGTTGTAATTTTGGCATGCATGTGTAAAGTAACCATCCTGAGAATGTTAAAATTTTGGCGTTTAGTTTGTGTTTGCTAAAATGGTAATTATAGCAACTAGTGATTGCAGTTGGGAACATACTGATGATAGAATTTCAAGAATGAATAGCGGGCAAGGCTGGCAAGCATGTGTTGTTTGATTGGTTTTGTTGATAACTTGATATTACGTGTGCGGTCGTTAGACTTTGAAATGACATCCTCTTATAATCAGCTGTCTCCTAAAACATTATGTACTTTTCATTCAGGCAGCTTTCTTAGCAATGAAGAGTACTGGAGGAAAGCTTATGGTATTTCAATCAGGCAAGTATCCTAAACCTATTTTTTCACCATCGTAAAGGGCACAATTATATTTGTTGCTGTCATGGTCTACCCTTTGTGAATATTAAATGCTTTCTAGTGGTCATGTGTTCCTATTAACTTTGACAATGCCTTCCCTGATCAATTTATTATGTCATCAGTTTTGCCATCCATCGGCCTCGGAGCACTTGCTGCAAGAGAGGCTGAGGGAAGAAGCAATGTCTCTGCTGGGGACAAGGTAATGATTCAACCTTTCCTTGCCTTGCTTTTACTGCTAAACATTTTGCAGTAGTTAAGGAGATGATGCATCTAATGTACGTAAGTGCAACCTTGTAAACTCGTTTCGAGATCAGTAAAGGGCCTTCATGTTATTCCATGATTTTGTTGTGAAAAATTATCGACTACCTTTTGTCCCTGTTTGAGAATGTAGTCTATTGTATCTAACATCCATCAGTTGAACTCTGTATTGTTGTGACCTTTATTTATTCCTGGGCAGCATTGCATGGAGAAGTGCTCTATATAGGAAAGTTTTTGTTTCCTGGTGGATATTGGGTTGCTTAACCTATATATTTTACCATAGTTATCAAAAGTCCTGCTCACTTAGACTAGGGTGCAATCGTGCTAGGTTCAGCCTCTAGGTGTGCAGCTCAAGAACGCTTTGTAAACATTATAGTAAAAGCAACTAATTGTTATTCGTCCCATGCTGTCACCTCAGTTTGGTAGTTATTGGAGGTCTGCCTGCTACCATTCTGATTAGCTTATGTCTACTTTGCATCTTCTTGGGCAGGAGGCTCATAAATTACTTCAGCCTGCTGACAAAACTCTGAAGGACATGGCAGTTGAATTTGCAGAATATCAGGTTCCCTATTGTTTTGCCGTCTATCTAAATGGAAAAATCAAGATTTCTATAGTTTACAGGACTATGTCATCACCAGAGCTTGCTTATTAAGTTCCCTCTTTTGCTTTTTTCTTTTCCTGATTTCTTCAGGTTTGTGTTGATGTATTCATCACCACCAAGACATACGTGGACATTGCTTCTATATCTGTCATCCCTAAAGTTACTGGAGGGCAGGTACTTTCAGGATACTATTGCTGCTTGCAATTAACAGTTTGGATTTCGTTTTAATGGCAGTGCTTTATTGTTGATAGCTATCATACTCAAAACACTAAACTGATGGCTTTTTGTTAAAATTATTATCCTTTAGGTAGCTATCTTTCCTTGTGCACTTTTTGGCATGGTTAGGAGAAGGTTGTCCATTACATATTTGATGTCACCTAGAATGCATCTTTTTCACTTACTTTAGTTGGATGACAAAGTTAGAAAGTCTTGGTTTCATTCATTTTCTTTAGATCACCTAACCTTATACCACTCCTTCGCCAAACATTTTGGAACGTGGACCCTGTGCGGATTTAGATTTCTTGCTAATTAGCCATATTATATCAAGGTTTAAGTCATAATTTCTTTCTTTCAGGTTTATTATTATCATCCATTTTCAGTAGTTTCCGATTCCGTAAAGCTTTGTAATGATCTTAGATGGAACGTCTCAAGGCCTCAGGGATTTGAGGCAGTTATGCGAGTGAGGTGCAGCCAGGTACTTCTTTGAAAAGGGATATTTGGAATCAATTCACTGTTGTTATCCAACTTAGCATTATGCTAATGGGCCGTTTTTTTATTTTCTTGGTATTTTTGTTATAGGGAATTCAAGTACAAGAATACCATGGAAACTTCTGCAAGCGAATTCCAACTGACGTTGACTTACCTGGGGTAAGAATAGCTTTCCATGAGATGCTGTGTTACATACTGAAATTCAACTTCTGCATTGTAGATGTTTGTTGGACCTAAATTTCAATGGTATATAGCTGCATTTAATGTAGATTATGTGCTTCTTAGCTCTTTGTTGGACCTAATACATTAGGTGTCATCTTAAAACAAGGAATATGACGATTAGGTTCCTTGATGTCCTAGTGGGATAATATCTAAAATTCTGGTTTCCTGTTTTCTGATGTCTGTAACAAGGGTGTTTAGACTTCCAGGAAAGAACTTTATAGTGATATGATGGGGAATGTGCTTCACTTTCTCTGTTGTACTTCCTAATGGATGTATATATATTTGTTTGGGTTCTTCCCAACTTTCCTAACCCATAAGTAATTTCTGTCTTTTGCAGATTGATTGTGATAAAGCTATAATGGTGACTTTAAAACATGATGATAAGTTGCAAGATGGTGCAGAATGTGCTTTCCAGGTGTGCTCATCTCTTCATCTTCTCGAAATCCATTTCTTCCATATCTCTCATGCATTATACTTTCACTTCATCTAAGCTTCTTTCTTCATTAGATGTATATATTCTTATGGCCACTACAGTAAGCCTGAAACTGCTCTGTTCAAATAATCAGAGGTTTATGTGGAATGCCTTAATATTAATCTACTGACTTAATCATCTGACCCAAATTGTCAGAGTTTTTGGTTTTGACATCATTGAGGTGCATTTTATTACTTCGTGATGCAGTGTGCACTCCTATACACTACTGTTTATGGCGAAAGAAGAATTCGTGTTACTACATTATCCTTGCCATGCACAAGCAACTTGAGCAACTTGTTTCGAATGGCTGACTTGGATACTCAATTTGTATGTTTCCTGAAGCAAGGTATTTTAAGCATGCCACAGTTATCATTCTTTTATTGCTTTCAGATCTCCTGTTGGCCATCTCATTCTCATCGGGAATTAGCTTGCTTAAAGGTGTTCATTTTGTTAGTGATCTGAAATTATAATTGTACTGCATATTTGGTCTTTGCTTTTATAGTAACTGTCTCAATTGCTGTGCAAAGTTGATCTTACTCTTTACCTTGTTTTGGCAGCTGCACGTGAAGTTCCCATCACCCCACCATTGCACGTCCGTGAACAAGTTACGAACTTCTGTATAAACATTCTACTTTCATATCGGAAATTTTGTGCGACAGTGTCATCTTCAGGGCAACTTATTCTTCCAGAAGCACTCAAACTGCTGCCTCTATATACTCTTGGTACTTTTCTCTTTGTTTCATGTCTCATTAATGTGTCAATACCACACATGTCCATTGTACTTGACATTTGTCCTAGTTCCAGGGGTGGAAAAATGGTTCATTGGTTAATCAAAAAAGAATTATAATAAAATTTGTCGAAGCTGGTAGGGCCTTTCACCCATTGATTGAATTTACTAGAAGTTGCTAAATTATTTTGTTGAAACATAATAAAATTACTCGACTCGTTCCGCCCATGAAAAATCTTTGTTAATTGTCTATTCTTATTTTTAACCACTCTTTTACATAATTTGGTTAGATTTTTGCTTTCACTAAAGTATCTTATATAATGTTTGGTTGAAATTTTGGTCGACGAAAACCAAAACCAAAAGATTGTTTTTTTGGCGTTGGTTAACCAAGTCCGAAACCAATGTAACCCCTGCCCATAGCAGCTATGAATGCATCTTAAGAAGTCGACCAAATAAATTTGGATCATTCATAAAAGGGAAAATAGTATTCATAAAAAAAAATTGAATGAATAAGAGAAGATACTTCACTTTTCTGAACCTTTCTGTAATTGTTAGTTACGTAGAGCACATATATTTTGCTTGTTTCTACGTGTGTTGTTTTCTTAGAATACATTTGCTGCTCCTTCACACAGCCTTAATCAAGAGTGCTGGTCTGAGAATCGAAGGGAAGATAGATGATCGCTCTTTCTGGATCAATTATGTATCATCAGCTTCTACTCCTTCAGCAATTCCACTGGTTTACCCAAGGATGATTGCTGTTCATGACCTTGATACACAGGCATGTTATGTCTTTATCCACCCATGGTTCCCTTGTAAAAAATCTGTTTAAATTTCAAAATCTAACGCCTCTTTTGATGTTGACAGGATGGGAATGGTTCTATTGTCCCTGCTCCACTTCCGCTATCTAGTGAACATGTCAACGATGAAGGAATTTATCTACTGGAGAATGGGCAAGATTGCTTAATATATGCCGGGAACTCGGTCAACCCTGACATTATGCAGCAATTGCTTGGTGTTCCCTCAGCTGATCAGGTTATTTTAATTTCCATTCAGTCATTTTTGTCTGGAGTTAGAACTTCAGTCCGAAGTGCTCTCCGCCCAATTCAGTCCAGTCTGGTTTGGGTTCAATTCACCTTTTTTCTGGTTTAAGAGGATCCTCCATAGAATTGAAATGAGTGTGTCTTGAATTTGAGAGTCAATACAGAATCAAATTGTAGTTCTCGTGTCCAATTCAATCCAAGCGTCGGTTCTGTCCAGTGCGGATCGAATTATAGCCCACCCTGAATTCTTTACCTCTGATATATGTGTCTTCAAACTGATGTGATTGCTTAGTTAATGGTTACATGACTCTTTTCTTGGACCGAACAGGGGGGTGCCGAGTTCACCTTGCAGCAATATGACAATCCATTGTCAAAGAAGTTAAACGAGGTGGTAAATGAGATACGCCGACAGAGATGTTCTTTCCTCAGGTATTTCTCGTTAACCCCATCTTTCTTTAACGAGTTTATCACTTGCTTTCTGTTAGTAATAATTATGCCGTTGATGCTCTTGCAGGTTGAGGCTCTGCAGAAAGGGAGATCAATCAGGTGAGTTACTGAACTTAAGCACCCACTCTGGTCTCCTCAGTCCATGTTTTTGGTCCCTCATATTGATTATTTAGCTAAAACTTCCTTGTCCTTCTTTTTGCGGCCCTTGTAGGAATGGCATTCTTTTCGTACCTGATCGAGGACAAAGTACCGACTGGTGGTCTCTCGTACGTGGAGTTCCTGGTGCATATCCATCGGCAGATCCAAATGAAAATGTCTTCCTAAAACCAAGGCTCTGCCTGGTTTTTTTGTTCGTGGTGTGCCGGCTAGCTTGAGCTTTTTTTTTTGGGCATTTACGGACCGTTGTGAGTTTACTGGGTTGGAATCTTTCCATTATTCTAGCTAGATATATTTACAGCAGCAGCAGCGGCAGTGAAGAATACGTCTGGTAGAGTAATAAGATTGCAGCAAAAGAGCTCCTTCTCCAATACCCAAGAAGTTCCATTTCACATGATTTCTTGCTTTACCTTTTTGCGTTCCTAGATACACTTATTTAGCATTCTAAGAACTACAGATAGCCAAACCGTCTTCCTTTGACTAAGATATCCGCCCCTGGAAAGTTAGATACACCTATTTTCCAAATGTAAAACTAAAGACAGGAGGATGTACTTTAAATGTTTCGGATTTTCGATATTTTTCCATCATTACCAAAGTATACAGATACTGATTTTGGTTGAACGTTTCTTGGAAGCACAGCTTGTTGAAAACTGAGGGCTGTCAATTTTTGAACATGTTATATTTGAAGATATAGTGCAATCGAAGTACTTGACAGTAACAATTTTCTGGTTGGAACTCTGGTTCTATTGAACTTGTTACTGTCCATGTTTATGCCCGACAATCACAAAATACTGTTATCACTATCATGAACACGAACAAAATACTGTAAGCTTCCCCGGAAAAAAATCCCAAAGTACACTAGTTCTTAAAAAAAATTCCCAAAATACATAAGTTATAAAAAAAATTCCAAAAGTACACATGTTTGAGCATCACCGTTTTAGACAAAAGCGGTGAAGGTCATCACCGCTTTTGACCAAGACGGTTACTTCACCGTTTTAAACTAAAACGGTGACGTATTCACCGTTTCAAACTAAAACGGTGAAGGGTTCACCGCGTTTGTTAAGAACGGTGAATACCTCACCGTTTTAAACAAAAACGGTGAAGCCTTCACCGTTTTAGACTTCCACGGTGAAGGCGCTGACGTGGACTAACGCGGGGTATTCACCGCGTTAGACAAACACGGTGAATACCCGTGTTTGTTTGCGTCAGCGATCCGCGTCGCTGGCGCGTTCACCGTGTCCGTTGGATGCGGTGAGGCGCGGATCGTGGTTTTCTTTCCAGATCCGACGCCTCACGCTGAGCCACGTCGCTCGATCCGCGCCTCATCACCGTGTTCGAGAAACGCGGTGCCTTCACCGTTTCTGACGGACGCGGTGAAGGCTGGGAGAATTCAATTCTCGGCAGATCCCTTCCCCCAACTATAAATAACCCTTCCCCTTTCACTTTCAACTCACACCACAAACATTTCACTTCTTTCTCCCTCAATTTATCCGCTCTAGTCTCGTTCTAAGTATGCTCTGTGGTTGCGGCTAAGTCCGATCTTCCACATCAGAAAGAATTACTAGAGTTTGACCCTAAAGCCCCCATCCCGCTAAGTTCTCGTCCCTTACAAACCTAAACCCGTCGAACCTCTGTCCGGCTTCCGCCAATAATGGACGAAGAGGCTCTTCGTGTAGGTTTTTGGTTTATGATTTTTTTTAATCGAAAGAATTTGATTTTTTTTATCAAAACAATCTCTGATTTCATTACTTTTTTTATAGATGGGTGCCGAGATATACGATCCTCGATTGTATATCCATTATGGCCCAAGGGATGCGAGTCTCTTAACCGATCAAGAAGCTCATCGCTCCCGTGCCATTTGGGATAACAATCCGGTAATTTGATGAACTGACTTGCTTTATTTTATTATTTCTAATGTTTTATTTTGCTTTATTTAATCTAATAAATTGATGTTTTTCCTATTTTTTTTAGGAATCTCTTGTTCCCGTGGTTCATAAAGGGACCAATAACTTGCCCGCTTGGCATCCAAGGTTGGAGCCCTATATAGCGAGGACCGGTTTGGGAATGTTGCGCCATTTCTTGCGGATCGAGATCGACAACGATCTGCTTACGGCAATGGCGGAACGATGGCGTCCCGAAACCCATACATTCCACCTTTCGGAGGGGGAAATGACGATCACCCTCAAAGACGTGGCGATCCTCACCGGGCTTCCTATATCTGGAGATGCCATCATTGGTTCCACGACCAAACCCGGAGGAGGTTGGGGGCCGCTCATCCGTGATCGTTTGGGCTTCGACATGCCGACCACCACACCAATTCAAGGACGGGGGCATCCACCGTTGAATGCGGGGCAAGTGTCGGTCCCGTGGCTGGTATCTCACATCCAGCAAGAGGTGGAAATCAATGACGAGACACCGGAAGAACAAGTCGAGCGCTACGCCCGCATCTACCTCATCGGTTTGGTGGGTGGATTTTTGTTCCCCGACAAGTCCAACCGGTGGATTCAAGGCATATGGTTGCCATTGCTCACTGGTGACTGGGATGCAATTGGAGAGAAGAGTTGGGGATCGGCCGTGCTAGCGGGCGTATACCGGGAGCTGTGTACTTGCTCGAAGGTTGGGGCAAAGCAAGCTGGTGCTGCGATGTTCATCCTGCAACTGTGGGTATGGGAGCATCTCCCGATGTTCGCACCTCTCGACCCACGTCCATACCGGAGAAACGATGATGAACTCAACTTTCTGCAAAATCTCCCCTACGGTGTCAAGTAAGTTTATTTCGTACTTAGCCCAATTTAATTTTGATTGCATGCTTAGCTAGATTTAAATTGAATTTATTCCGTACTTAGCCCAATTTAATTTTGATTGCATGCTTAGCTAGATTTAAATTTTATTTATTACGTACTTAGACCAATTTAATTTATTATATGCTTAGCTATATTTCAACTAAATTGATTCCGTACTTTTACTTACAAGGTGGATAGGAGCAAATACGAATGACCATCAACCTGAGCATTCGTTATTGTTTTATCGTTCTGAGTTAGATAAACCATGGTGGAATCAGATAATCATGTTTTGTCCATATTTGAACAAGTTAAATTTTGTCAATGTAAATGGTCATTAATTCTGAATTTTTGAATGAATATAGGTTATATGGGATCCATATCCACGTGAAGTGGTTGAGCTGCATCATCTTAGGCACCCTCTGGATCACGAGACGTGGTTGTGCAAGGTGCCATTGATCTGCTGGCACATGGTGGAATGGCACCTACCCGATCGATCTCTGAGGCAATATCGAATGGAGCAACCAATTCCACAAGACCCGCCAGCAGGTTTCAGGGAGCTACATGCCATGGACCTCCGACACACTGCAAAGAACTGGGTGCTAAAGCATGGATTCTACATCAACATCTGGGAGAATCGGTCCCAATGGGTGGTGCAAGGGATGCCGGAGACGAGACCGATGGGCTACCACGATGGGTACTTGCAGTGGTATCGGAAGTTCACCATGAGATGGGTGTCAAAGCAAGGTGCTGTGATGGGGTCGTTGGTAAGTCATCCTAATCTCCCTCATTCAAATATCTATTTATTTTAAGGTTTAGTTAATTTGATATGTGGCGTGCTTTCCTTAGGTTGATGGTTTGGAACACGCCAAGTACACTCTCGAAAGTGCTCCAACCATGGATGAGCGGAAGACTACTTGGTTGACCCGACTTATGAACAACCTCCTGAGTTGTACCAGAGAGCAAAGGAGGGATGTCGTGGCCTATCCTCCCGTTCATGCCCCGTCACGACCCTCATTCCGTGATGATGCACCCATTGTGCCCCCGGTTGAGCCCCACGAAGGAGCAAACGCAGGCCTCTGCCTACGTTCGATGAGGTGCGTACAACTCAAGAAACCGAGATCTCTGAACCGTTCAAGTACCAGTGGGCACCTACAGCGGAAGCCGGTGGAGGGTCATCGAGTCGTGGAGCATCTCAGGAGTGGGACACTTTCTCTCATGGGTTCTCTCAATTCCAACATCAGCAACAGAGTTCGATGTATCAGACCCCGCAACAACAAACTCCGCAACCTCCGATCATTCGCCAAGCTACCGCTCCATCTCAGCCACCACCACCACCATATGTGACCCCAGTTGGGGCTCGGGTCAAGAGAAATCCGCGACCAGCCGTTGAGCGAGCCCGCCAAGAAGCAGCGGCGGAGGGGGGAAGAAGGGGTCGAGGACGTCGTGGAGGACGAGGAGGAAGAGGTGGAGATGGGGGCCAAAATGAAGCAAATGAGTGAATTTATCGTTTTATCCTGCAGTAGTGATCTATCCATGTTGTTTTGGTGCTTTTTAGGTGTTGTTATTTGAGTTTGCATTGTCTAAAAACTATCCTACGCACTTAAGTTGTCGAATGAATTTTCTGGATCATTTTATCAAGAATCAGTATCTTCCCTCAACACGAAAAAGTTGGGAAAATCAACCACGATCGCATAGAATTTTACAGATCCCAATTCCGATTCCAAACGAGTGAGATAAGTGACGTCAAAGCGCGATCGCATCGTTAAAGTAACTTTTGCGTACTAAAAACTAAAACGCGCGTATCTTATTCGTTTGAGGTCGAAATAACGAGCCGTTTGCGGCAGCGCGATCGTATCGACAAGGAAAAATTTTTAGAGTTAACAAAATACTTGGACTTCAAATGCAAACGGTAATGAAAAATTAAACAAGCGATCAATTTAGTAGCAGAATACAAGTAAATGCAAATTAAGTTGATGGTTGTCCTGGGCAACGCCTCTTGTCGTGACCAGGTTGTCTGCACTTAGAGCATCGCTTCGGTCCCTTTCTCGTCCGTTCAACTTGATCCATCTCATTGTGTATCCTTTCAACTCTAGGACGGCCTTTGGTGCGTTTTAGGTGCAACGGTGGGATAATCAACTTTCCAGCGTATATAGGCCAATACGCTTCATCTGGCATGGGGCTCAAAGCTGCATTATATGAGTTCCGTATCGCTTGTTCAGTGTAGTAAGGACTCACCAGGCTGTTTCTGTTCATGGTTATTGACTTAGCAACCGCCATTGCATGTGAACAGGGTATCCTTTCGTTCTGATACTTTTGACAAGAACACTCCCCTAATTCGTAGTGCAATTTAACCGTTTGACGATTGTGACCACGTCTCCCTCCACCCCATATACCTGTTTCGACAGCGAATATTCCTTCACTGCGGTTAAAAAGAACAACTTTATGCTTACTTGATTTTTCATCGTTCTTCTGCATTTGAGCGAATACGTCATGTGCTACTGAATGACCTTGCAACTCCCTCCCTATAGCTAGCTGTAGTCGAGCAACTCGCCACTCGTTGACCTTCCAATAAGACATTTCCACGATGACAGAAATAGGCATCGCTCGAAGACCCTTGTACACATTATTTATACTTTCTCCATGGTTGGTAGTTGCAATGCCCCATCTGGCCCCGTTGTCCATATGGAACGTCCACATGGGCAACTCTTGACCTTCAGCCCATACTGCTCCAGCTCGGTGGGTCTGACGGATCGTTTTCATCTTCTGCTCGTACTTTTTTGGTTGATGTGCAACCGCTAAAAGGTGAACAAAAGACTAACTGGTCAATACATGATGAATAACATCAGCTTATCAGCTTAATAAACACAAACTTAAATCGCATAAGAAAAACATTAGTACCTATATTCCAAAGTAGATTTTTGATGTCTTTCTTCTTCCCAAATTTGTGTTGGAAATTGGCGAGCCAGTGTCGAATACACCATCTCCATCTCCACCCCCACTCGCGGGAAAACCACCAACAGCATTCCTTATCCCCGCATATCGATCGGATATAATCGTAATATCTTCCCGCTGTGTCACGTGTTCGTGCAGTTGGTCAAAGAACCAAGCCCAACTTAAGCTGTTCTCCCCTTCCACTAATGCAAATGCAAGCGGGAAAATCCGCCTGTTTCCATCAACGCCAGTGGCAATTAGAAGACATCCTCTGTACTTCCCAGTAAGGAAAGTTCCGTCAACCTGAATAAAAATTTAGGATATAATTAGTATGAAATATACTTAACAGCAAATAATACAACATTTAAAACCGGAACTAGTTGGTAAAATACCTGAATAACCGGTATGCAGAACCCAAAACCGTCAATGCATGGTTTAAAAGCCCAAAAAAGACGATGGAACATCAGCTTATCCTGTACTCGAACTTGATCCTCAGTGTATACATTGTTGTATACTGGGACGAAAACAGTCCCAGGATTGGACTCCTCCATTGCTCCCATAAGTCTAGGGAGTAAAGCATACGAATCCTCCCAATCACCATACACCTCAGCCATGGCTTTCTGCTTACCATGCCATGCTTTTTTGTACCTTATCGTGTAAGAATGTCGATCCTTCACCTCTGCCATGATAGCTTTCACCTTGATATCTGGTTGTGCTTCTATAAGGTGCTTAATAGTTCTCCCAACCTTCTTTGCTTTTAGTTGCCTGTGATCTTGGGAAAGTATAGAAGAGGAGCATGTGTGGATCGTCTCAGCTTTGCGAATCACCCAAGCACCTTTTCTCTTCATATTTGCAGCCCGCAGTTGCCACGTACAACCCTCTGCATCATGCTTGCATATGACATGTAGTTGTTTACTGTCAGAATATTTTACCTTCCACTCGAAATTGCGCCTCAACGCCTCTTCTGTAAAAGCATCCTGCACAGCGTCTTTCGATGTGAACGCCATACCCACCTCCAAATTGGCCGTCGGATTGTACACTGGCATAGGGACAAAGTCGGGGGGATCATTCTGACTATGTAAAAATTGAGTTGGAACCTGTGTGTAATATGGCGTGGGTGCCTCACGAAATGCCGCCTCATCCTCGTTATCATCAGTATCTTCCTCCTCCTCGCTCACTGATATCAAATCTTCATCAGTATCCTCGTCGCTCGACTCGAATGGATAGCTCGGGCTAGAAGGATCGACATGTAGGCCACGATCACCAAAATCGTCCTCTCGCTCATTTGAAGTACGCCCTGATCGAATGGTATTCTCGATTCCATACCACTCTGGCCCCCAAGCAGGCCATTGAACACCATCGGCCTCAACAAATGGGGCTGGTTTAGGAGGTTGCGAGTATTTGTCCCATCCTGCACTACTCGATCCACCGTAGTTGATTGAACCACCACCCTCCCCGTAACCTCCTGTATAACCACCGCCTTGGTAGTTGCTCGAACTACCACCTCATTCGTACCCTCCTGCAAAACCATCATCATAAGAATACTGGTGAGAATGAGATTCACCGACCGCCTCGGTCTCAACATACACCTCTGCAAGCCGGACTTGGTTATCGGTTATGAACTGTAACATCATCATAACCGCGTCATCATCGTTTATGACAACTTCTTGGAACACGACCCCGCCAGCACTCATGTCTGGATACCGGTAAGTAATTTTGCCAAGTCTCGTCTGTCCGCTCGTACAAACCCTTTCTGCACAAAGATCACATAGTTCTTGAAAATTGAATCGGGAATCAATTTTCAGCATAATGGATTCGCCGTCCTCATAATCAATGCCTATGTCAGAGTTTGTCACCCTTCCATTCCACCGAATAGTAAGATGAAACTTCTTGAATTTACCCATATCTACAATTTACAATAAGTATCTATTAGCTTAAAGACAGTAAAATTAACCAAAATCATATTGTACAACTAATATTAAATCATACCATAACTAACGAAAATAAATTCAACTAACTAACAACAACATAATACGAAAATTAAATCATACTATAACTAACGAACATAAGTTCAACTAACTAACAACAACATAATACGAAAATTAAATCATACTATAACTACTAAAAACATAATTAGACTATAATACGAAAAGTCTCAACATACCGAAAAATTTCTGTTCTGTGTATTATGCTCGATTTTGGCTGCTGAAATTTGAATAAAGGGGAGTGGTTATGTTTTTACAACTGCTGGTGGTGTGCAATTTATAGGAAAATCTGCCTACTATTCACCGTTTTTGTCGAAAACGGTGAACACCATCACCGCGTTTGTCTCAAACGGTGAATAGATGGTAGCTGCGACCTAATTTTGACCTACCAGGGATGGGAAACGTGGGAAATAATCACCGCGTTACTTAACAACGATGAATGGGTTCACCGTTTTTGACCAAAACGGTGATGTGTTCACCGTTGTTAATTAACGCGGTGAAAACTTAACCGTTTTAGTTTGAAACGGTGAATACTTCACCGTTTTTGTTTAAGACGATGAAGTATTCACCGTGTTCGTCAAACGCGGTGATGACCTTCACCGCTTTTGTCTAAAACGGTGATGCTCAAACATGTGTACTTTGGGAAATTTTTTTATAACTCATGTATTTTGGGAATTTTTTTTAAGAACGTGTGTACAGTGGGATTTTTTCCAAGCTTCCCCTGTGAATCATTCATTGGATTGCATCAAAAGTGTATCAAGCAAAAACAATTTCACCCTATTGCTTTTCCTTGGTAGGAGACTGTTTGGATCTCTTCTTAAATCGTTGCTTCTTCTCGGTCTCAGCAAAAACATCAGCGTACTTTTGGAGTACTCGTTCTTTTTCTTCTGGCATCCCTAGCATCTCATGCGCATTGGCTACTCTCTGGACTATAACCTTGTCATAGAGTTTCCTGTCAAATGCTTCCATGCCCTTGAAAAGCTTTAAGATGCACAATCATATTAGTCTTGAATTGAGTTGATTCCAAGCAGTGAATCTAAGGAGAAATATGAAATGTAGTAGCTAAAACAGGCCCATACTTCATCAACGGAAACGAAAACTAGCAGCATACCTTAACAAGCCTATCTAGCAAGTTGTTTCTGTAGTATACTGATATCATCATGCTACATAACTTCCAAGGCACGGAATGAAGATCCGTACCAACTTTCTTCACCCAAACAGAATGTGCTTCCTCCGCTCGGTGGTCTTTATCCAATGCACGTATCAGTTGCCCGTACGTACCCATTGTGTTTCCCTGACCCTTGCTCAACATCCATTTAATCACCTAGATAAAAGTTAACATGGAATGAGGGAATGCATAAAACAAGTCCAACAAATTGAGCATTATCAGAATGATTCGAATTATTTTATTTCTAAAGCTTAACCTACACATTACAAACTCAAGAAATGTAAAACTTAAAAGAGTCGGGATGATTAGGGAAGACAGAGTAGGAGTTGAATTTTGCTTCCTAATGAAAATGGACGTACGCATAAATAATATACATGCAAGGGCTGTTCTAGAAATGATTTAGCATGTAATTTGATTCGGTAGCAGAAAGGAAAATGGTTTGCACCTGAACAATCCGATGCCATTGATGTTCCTTCTCAAGAGCCAGCAAAGCATGCTTAAGAGGACCAATGGGAAATTCCCGCTCCCATGCAACCCAAGCATCCAGAGCACCATAAATACCTTCTTTGTTATCCTTGAGATCCATGAGCTGCAGATATGAGAGATTCCTTAACTTGCCCATAAAGTTAACATCAACATACCAATAAAGAAAAATGGTTAAAAAGGATGAAGTGCAGTGACCTCAAATTAGATGTTTGAAGCAACTAATACCACAAGAAGCTAGCTTCTTTGGATTATGGTGAACGTAGCTAATGTCTTATCTACATATTAGGCTCTACTGTTACTGATGTTCTACTAACTTCAATGTTCTTTCCATTTTATTCATATGGCTGGTACTACTACTGGCTCTATATGACACTGGATCATGAAGCTAGGCAAGTAGAAAAGTTTCAGAAGCTCACAAGGCTTAAATTTTTTTTTTTCCTTCTAACCTAAGATACCCGATGGTGAAGCAAATTGATTATCTTGAAACTGGGAACTGGGAAGTGCATTATAGGTGTCGTAAGCCAGCTGCTCAACTAACTACATACAGCACGGAAGCCTACATCATCAGAATACTAGATACGCTGGGTTATCGAATTCAGCCATTTTTCAACTATGGTATTTTCATAGTCGAAAGATGCAAGGAAGCATAATCTTCATCTAGACAATTTTCTTTTGGTTCAAAATCTAGGCAAGCGTAATAAAAAGCTTGGCAAAAATCTTCAAATGCTTACTGTGTTAATAAGAAAGCCAGTCTTCTCCTTTCTAGAAATATTCTTCCCTATTTTATCCTTCTGCACAATAGCAGCATTTTGGTCCAAATTTTGGAATGCAGCTTGATGACTGAATCGTGCCTGCAACGTTGTGAGAAGGTGGTCAACCAGGACCGCAACATATAGGTATAACTATAAGTGAAGGATCAATCGAGAAAAGTTCAAGAAGGGTTTTGTTATGGAATTCTTCTCAACTGCTCATTCAACAAGACCAAAATAGAAAATGACAATAACTATCTTCATATTCCTTAAACCAAAATGATTTGCCTGCCTCATGGGATCCAACAGACTTTCAAACACAGGAATTTCAATCAGGCGCCAAATAAATCCAAATGGAATAAATGAGAACCAACAAAATTATCCATAAAAAAAAAGTGAGAGTGACTTTCAATTCACTATGATACCTCTGAAGAAGACTGATCTTTTGCATCTTCCCTATCAGAGAATTGAGCCTGCGGCATTGAACCATAGCTAGAACTAAGGGTTTGCACTCCCAGTCGAACCCGAGTTAACCTTCTAACCTGTGAACCTTCATGAGTAAGACAACATGGATTTTGCCTATGGCACTTTGAGTTCTACAACAATAACAGGAGGTAAGAGGAAGGACTCACAATACAAGCCATCGCCGGTGATCTCCACATTGCCAATGAAGGAACCAGAGAGCAACTACTGCAAATACATGCTCCCAACTGGGGTAAAAATGAAAAAAAGATTCAGAGAAACGATGAAGTTCCGAGCTTATTCCATTACAACTCTAGCTATCTATGTTCAAGAAATTGTATATAAAGAAACCAGCTTCCAGTGCAATAGGCAAACACCACCAACTGCTCTAATTAACATCTGCTCTCCCATAAACATTCTGTATGTAAAGTTCATACAAAATGACCACAACCATGTTGGGAAAACAACTGAAAATGCCGAAGAAAGGCGAGAGCTTTTACCTATGGAAGAACAGAGAGAGGCGGGACCCGGGTCGTTGAAATCAAAGCACCAGTTTTTGTCAGAAGAATTAAATCAAGGAAAGTATGCCAGAGGAAGTTGAGCTGCTTGGGAGCAAAGAGTTGGCCGGGAGTTGAAACCGGTGAAGAAGAAGAGGGAGCGACAAACGGAAAGAGTGAAAGGCGGCGGCGAAGATGAGCTACTTGCTGAGACACAGAACCCAGAGCCTTCGTTATTAGTGAATGGGCCAAGGCCCAAGATACTTACTGATATCTAAAATCTAAAATCTAAAAATACCTTTAAGCGTTTTCCCTAACTGCCTAGTTGGAATTCAAATTCTATTGCTATACATGCTTCCACGTCATCACTTTAACTCTCCTCTCATCCGAATCCCCTTCCGTTGTAACTAATCTACAGGTCTTACCCCGTCGCCCGCTCTCAACTTTGCCGCCCGGCTGGGGCTCTCCTGCCAAAACTCATCGCCGCTCTGGTCCGCATGACTACCCGCTGGCCGTCTCTCTTTTGGTTGTCATTGCATAAAGGTTTCTGATTGCAATGTCTTTCGTGGGCTTTAATTGGGATTCTCTGTTGCCATTGACTTATTTGTTGTTTTGCTTAAAGGGAATTGGATTATTCATTGCTTTGCTTGGGTTTCTTTGTTGTCATTGGATTATTTATTTGTTTTCGTTTGTGCATCTTTAAAGGGATCTTTGGTGAGAAGGTAACAAGAACCGTGAGAAATTCTTTCCACATTTAGCAGCAAAGATGTGTCCTCCTATATTGATTCTGTTGGGAATGAATAGTTTTGAAACTATATTGAATCAATTATCTAGTAGTTCGCGACTCAACCAGATTGGTAACCCTAAATTTTTTGTTCGGTTTCTAACAGATTCTACAATCTGCCCTCCTTCTTTGACGGCTAACTCCCACTCCTCGCCTAACACCGTTAGGTCGGTAATGGACAGGGGAAAAAACGATCCCTTGCATAGTTGCACTATCCAATCCTCACATCATGCCAAAGTTTGTATCAGCCTTGCTAGAATGGTATTATGTTCATTTTGTGTATGCTTTGTGTTAAATAAATTCACACTAGATGATTCGTTTCATATATCATTGTGCAGCTCCAGTGAATTATTCTAGCGCTGCAAGTTTTGACTCCAACTAAAGCATCTTCTTCTTTGTCATCTACTACTGGCAACCCTAAACTGTCATTTACATTAGGTGACGTCAATTTGACAAATACCCTTGATTGTGACTTTGAAGTTGTTCAATAAAATAGTGACTTTAGAATATAAATCCGATGCCATAATTAAATTCGTTGTAAATGGAATGTATAACATGAGTAAAACTTATGCACGTTTTAATTAAGTTGTTTGCAAAAATGGAAGGTGTTGGTTTGTTGCTCTAATGTACTGATGTTGCAAGATTCTTTTCTAGAGTTGACGGGTTAGAAAATATCTGCTTTCACCTACAATTGCTTGATTTGTGGCCTTTATATTTTGCATCAAAAGCTAAAGCTTTAATAATGTTGAAAATTTGATAGAAGGAAATAGTCTACCTCCATCAAAAAATGTAATATTCTACCTAATTTATTAACCTTTAAGGCTTTCACACATTGTTTGATGACTTTATCAAAGTGATGATTCAAAGTATAGGCTAATTCTATACTACTACTTACTCCTAAATTGGTCTGTATAACCCATATAATCAAATATAGTCTTAAACTAAAATAATAAATCAAAGTCAAAATAATTAGTATAGAGCTACCTGCCCAACGGGCAGGGTCGAAAGCTAGTTTTCTATAAGAAAATTGAAATGAGGATTTTTTCTAATAAAGATAACTTGCATACCGGATTTCTTTCTGGTAGGGTATTTTGTGGTACGACCGTGGTTCAATCGTTTCATATCGGTAATTATTTTTTTATCAAAAAATCATGCCGGCAAAATTAGAGTACCATTTCGGAGTAATATCGGATTATATCGAAAATACCGAACAATAAATATTAAATAATCATATAATAAATTAATAATGAGGCCCATTCCCTAATAAAAAAAAGGCCATGGACACCTAGAGAAACTCTAGGCGCCGCTCACCTCCCTTTCACTCTGCAAATTCTCCATACCTCCAACTCTCTCCCCTCTTTTTTTATTACTTTCTTTCCTTTGATCTTTTTGTCCCACACGCCTCTTTATCTCTCTCCCACCTCTGATTATTTTCCTTTATCTCTCTTCTTCTCCCCGATCTCATCATCAGTCTCTTTCTTTCTCTTCCTCTTCTTAAACGACGGTGGGCGGGTGAAGATCGGCGACCTCGGCCGGGACTCGGGAGAAGAGAGGGAGCCTAGATAACTCTGCTCGAGCTGGACGATGGAGTGGAGAATGATGGGGGCCTCGATCTCACATGAACAGGTGTGGCGCGAGTTGAACGATGGAGTGGAGAGGTCAGAGGAGGCAGGTCGAGAATTGAGATTGAATTGAATGGATTAGGGTTTTGCTCCTCTCCTGATTTAGTTTTCCCCCATTTTCGTTTGGTTAAAATCTGAAGCGACATCTTTTGACTTGTTACCATAGAACCGTCGGTTTGTTCAATATCGGACGAAATTCCGGATTGGACCTTTTATACCGAAAAAATCGTCCGAGACGCTTTTTCTTCCATAGATTGCATGTCATTTCATTTTCTGTCCGGTTTCCGGTTGAATCGGCCGGTACGATCCGGTTTCCTGGACCATGCCGGATACTCATGTCTGAGAGCCTGCCTGGACCTCTCGCTAAAGGGCGCCACCTCGAGCATTAGCCATGCACCGCGCATTGACCCTGTCAATAATCTCTATAGAATTCCCTTGTATCTGCACTAAACTGAGGCCCTTCACAACACACCAATGATATGCTTCACGAAGAGCTATCAACTCCACCATCTCCGGTTCGTAAACCCCTTCCAAGCGCCCAGGCTTAACCATCACCGACACACCCATCTCATCCTGTACGACCAATCCATAAGCCGCATGGGACTCCCGACGCAAGGCACCATCAAAAGCACAGATAATAACCATCACTGCACCTAACTGCGGCTCCACCACCTGTCCCCCCTGACGAGCCATCCTCCCAGGAAAAGCCTGCGGGAGAGTACCAAGCCACTCCAGAATCTGGTGTTGCATTTGCCACTGTAGCACATGTAGATTAACTTGTTTGAAATCAAACACCACCCAGTTCCAGGCCTTCCAAATCCGCCATAGCACTGCCACCAACCTTATGCTCGCCTCCGGCTAGGATATACGCTCCAGAACCCAGCGCAAAAAAATGGCAAGATCAGATGTATCCACTTCGGCAACTAGATCTTGAAGACCAGCCGTTGCCCATAAGGACCGGGCCACTAGACAATGAAGGAAGATGTGCTCCATCGTTTCCATTTTCTCCTAGCAAACCGGACAACGACCCAACACTTCCACCTCCTTCTCCAGTAAAGCCTTCGTCGTTGGCAAAATGCGACTCCTAATCTGCCAAAGAAAAAATCGCAGCTTAGGTTGAATCTTCAGCTTCCAGATATCCTTACAAAGTTTACAATCCATCCAACTAGTCTCTTCTTTCCCCCGTCCCAAAGTACGAATCCGTCCAAACGCCAGGTAGTATTCTGACTTGATAGGGTAAATACCCGACGGGTTATACTGCCACACCATCCTATATGCAATTGCCAAACGAGGCAAATGAATTGCAGAAATTACCAGCACCCAATCAAGATGGAAGCAAGCATTCAAACAGTCTTGACACCAAGTACCCTCGTCCGGATTTATGAGCGCGACAACCTTCTCAGTCCCACCTATCGGAGGTGATGCAAGGAAAGGAGAGGCACCCTGATCCACTTTTGGAATTAAACCATCCGCACCAATATCTACTCGTTCCCCATCACCATAATCTCTCATGAATTAAGTTGTGGGGGACATTTGGTTACACCAAAATATTTTCCCCCATTGAAATAATACTTGGGTGGTCATCCAGTACTTGGTCACCATGTGTCCAGTTCTAGGGTAACCATCAAACCTCAAAGTGGATGGTAGCATCCCACATTATGGATACCATCCAACTTCTAAATGGATGGTACAATCCCATATAATGGACACCGGACACCATTCAACCTCTTAGTGGATGGTGACCATTCCATATTATTGATATCATCCAACCTCTAAATGAATGATACCATCCCACATTGTGGACATCGTCCAATCTCTAAGTGGATGGTGACCATCCCACATCATAGATACCATCACAACCGTATAGTGGATGGTACCATCCCAAATATGATGGACACCATCCAAATGACTAATTGGAGGGTGACTATCACATATCATGGATATCATCCAAAGTACTAGCTGGATGATACTATTCATGTTGAAATAGGATAGCATGGTGACATGTCAAAAGACTTCTTGGCGACAACTGACTCACATAGAGGCTAAACGAAGCTACTTTTCGGGAGGAGAGGAGAGAGAGCAATTGGAGGACTCTAAGCAACAAAACTAGAAGCAACCTTTTGGAGCAGACAGACAAACACAATCCAACACAAAGACAACTTGTCTCAACTGTCCTTTTTCCTTTTTCGCTGTAGTTTGCGAAGCTCTCCTCCATGAAGGATCCTCCATAGCAGTAGTTTTAATTGTAGTCGCGACGCTCTTAAATTTTTTTTATAGGAGTAGATTCCTCATACACCAAACACACTCATTCGAACAATGTTTGAAGAGGTATGGACCGTAGTAACAATCGTCTTCTTCATATAAGTCAGTCGCAACCCATCCACTCAGTTTCCCACCTAAAACAGAAATATTTAACCAAGCACCACAAGTACGATCGAACTTCCTCATCAAGTTCTTTGTCAATGACCGAATGAATTGGCTAGTATTCTTCCTCAAGACATCCTACATATGTTCGAGCTTCGTATGTTTATTGTACCAGATTCATCTAAGTTAGCACAGATCAATCCTCTCAAGTTCGCCAATGACCAAACGAATCAGATCGTCTTCCTCCCCAAAGGAGATCCTACTATGCCTGAGCTCGTTATGTTTGTGGTAGCCGATTCATCAGTGTTAACTCAAATCCATCTCCTTTCAGGCTATTCACATTTTACCATGGGTTGCAAGTATCGAGTGCACATCTTATCAGTGTTCTAAAGTTTAGCATGTGTCTCATTAGTTTAACTTGTGTGAATATACCGTGACGAGCATCGGATTCAGGACTACTTCAATAACGATACATTCAACTTGATTTGCTCCGACAATTATCTATATAACAATTTCATAGGCAAAAATTGAAAGTCGGGTTGAACATCCGACTCTATGAACATACGACAAACTAATGTGAGCAACGGAAATCTTCTGCTTGCTACATGAACAAGCTAAATTAACACTGATGAACAACACAAGAGTACTTTCAAATGAAAAATCTGATTTTTTCTTTGCTCTACACATTAGGTTTCGAGATCAATACAATTGAAGGGTTCCAATCAATTACATTGTCACTTGAACAGGTAATCAGATTGGGGAAAAGAAAAACAAAAGTAGTCAACAGTTTTCTGCACTTTGAAGCACCCAAATTCAACCCTCAGTCCAGCTGATTGCAGTAAGAAAAAGAAAGTTAAAAAAACATCATTACCAACAATCAATACATGGTAAACTTGGCTTTGGTCCTTTCAAACACTTGTTCTGCAATAACAGCTCCATTCCCATCGGCCTGCTTGATCTCCAAATTAGCCTTCTGGTAAAAACCTGTACCTCTTAAAGCATCGGCAATGAAATCGTCAAACCCTATTGCTATTGCTGCTTCAGCTTTCGCCCCGTAGACCAACCTCTGCCATTTGCAAATACACAAGGTAAAAGAAAAGAACCGGCCATAAGATTCCAGTTAATACAATGGCAATGCTGAAGATAAGAGTTTTGCTTTCCCAAACGTACCTTGATTCTGGAGAGATGGATGGCACCGAAGCACATTGGGCATGGCTCGCAGGATGCATAGATTTCACAATCTGACAGTTCGATTCGGTTGAGCTTTTTACAAGCCTGTAAAAACATTAAAAAAAAGTCAGTTGATCGAGCTTCATTCGACAAGAATTGAATGGCTTCGAAAGGGAGTTGAATGGGGTCTCAATTACCTCCCTAACAGCTGTGACCTCGGCATGAGCAGTTGGGTCGGTGTGTTTGAGAACCATGTTGTGACAGCTCACGACTACTTCGTCATTGCAAACAACAACTGCCCCAAACGGGCCTCCATCCCCACAATCAACACCTTTATATGCTTCTTCAACAGCTCGAGTCAAGAACTTGTGGTCTCTGTCCTGCACAGCTGTTCAGAGAAATAAGCCGAAAAGGATACACTCATTAGAACCTCCCCAACTGGACATTCAGCAGTCAAAGGAATGAGTCCATTAATTCAGGCTCCTCTTAGCAACAAAGAAATTATCTTTGTTAGCCATTGCTTTCTTATATTGACTTCCCTGTGAAAGCTGCAGAGCAGTTCAACACGAAACAGAAAAGCCACTGCAAAATTACCTTCTTGATGACCAGCAAATGCAGAAGCTACTGAGATAGCCCCATCTTGAGTCGGCAGCACTGTTTTCCCAATCACAGAAATTAAAAACGATAAGTGTTTGTGTTCATCCTTGAATTTGAAGAGCAGATTCTGATGACTTCGCATCAAGAGATGCTCAGTAGCTCAAACTGAACATGAGATACAAGAAAGATCCTAACAAAGCAAGATTGAAAAGGTATAAACACTCAGCATCTGTCCTTTGTAAGCACTAAATATACTTCCTGGTTGCTCCATGTATGATTGAAAAAATGAGACTAAGTACTACTGTACTAAGCGTTTCAGTGTAAGAACTAATGAAGTCCCAGGATCGAAGAATTCCACGATTCATAGCTCTGATGAGCAATTCAACCCAAAAATTGCGCAAGAGAGCTGTGTTTCTTCCAAACTATAAACATGATGGATGATGATCACCATCACGACCTGATTCAGCTCAGAATTCCACGATGAAACGCATAGATTCAAGTAATCACAAGCCTATAGTAGAAATGGATCTGTAAGGACTCCAACGAAACCAAAGTAGCTATTCAGGATCTGTCCACACTTCCTTACAAGTCTCCAAAGTGAGAAGGCCATTAGTTCCTAATCTCATAGAATCATATGAACACCCACTCAAGAACAGATCATACTTCAACCCAGAACTCCATTAACCCAGAAAACACGCAAGGCATACAAACAGCTTAAGAATCGCAATCCGCCATCAATAACCCACTAATAAAAGCAGCATTAGAAACCCAAATTCCTCCATAAATCCATTGACCGACCACAATCAGAACTCCCCAATAATTTCCCAAATCATCAGAAGCGGTACAAAGAAACAGATCGCGAAAGTAGGGAACGTTTACCATTGCCATCCTCCATGATCGGAATCAGAGAATCAGAAAGGGAAGAGACGGTGGGGGGTCTCTGGAAGATAGAAGGAGGAGGAAGGAAAAAGAGTGTGCACGAGAGATTAGAGAGAGATAAAGGGGAAAAACTAGTCCACGAATTTCACAAAGGATTTTATAGGCGTCTCGTCCACAAAGCGCCACTGTGGCGTTAAAAAGTATATATCAATGAAATGGCCACAAGCTGAGAGGCCAAGGCGAGTAGCGTGTGAAGGCGGTGAAGTTGGGAGAAGAAAGTAATAAGGGAGAGAGAGTGACAGAGGGAGGAAAACTGAAAAGGGCGGATTTCGCGGGACAAATGGGAATCTTCGATCTTGTTTGTTCGAGACTGCTTGCATAAATTGAATGATTCATCAGTGGATTTTTACTCTTTGGGACCTATTTTGGGATTGATGTGCAAGCCACCTCCAATATTGTTCCATTTTGATATTTCGGTCCTTAATTACTTTTCTTGTTTGTTTTTACCTTTTTTTTTTTGGGTTTTACTTATTAGTAGGGGTGGGCACGTGGGTGGTTAATCCGCGGATTGATATCGATCAACCCACAAATAACCCGACCCGCACGGAGTGAGTGATTGACGTGGGTGGATTGCGGATTGGTAAATCTCCCACCCGCACTTATGTGGGTGGGTGGTGGGTGGATTGCGGGTCACCCATATGACCCGCATCCTATTTTTACATGAAAAAATGTTGTTTCTTATAGTATCGAATATTCATCATATTTTCGAACTGCACTAGAGTCTGACCATATACTTCAAAAGGTGGAGAATAAATAATAGTTTTGACTACTATTATTGGTCATTGTGTGTGCAATATCCATTACATATTGGATATTGGTATGTAGATTATTGTTAATAACCATTAAATATTGGGATGCAAACTATAAATTATTAATTGTATCAAAATCACAAATTATTGATACAGTCTTACTAATTTGTTATGAACTTATTAGAAATGTTAGTCAACTTTCTTAATGGCAAGTTGGAGAATTGCTTTTGCGGGTTGACCCGCAACCCAACCGCACCCATTCGCCACTCACCCAACCCAACCCGCAAAAGTATGTGGGTGGATTGCGGGTCATAATTATTCCAACCCACTAGTAAGCGGGTGACTCAATTTGAGACCAAAACCCACCCAACCCGCCCGTTGACGTCCTCCAGCTGCATCATAGTCCCCGGATCCAAAGGGGGTATCGCGAAGCAGAACAAAACTAAAAGAGAGCAAAACCTACCATGCATAGTACCTTCGCTGTAACAGAGACGAACAAGATCGTGGAGGATGCTCCACAAACGGAGGAAAGGTGGCCAAGGTCGATGAGCTCTAAACCCTCTACATGGTGCTCAGGTACAAGATTTGCGCGCCGTCTCTATAGTGATGTGCTACGAACGTATACCTGGTACATCGGGGACTCCGGCTCTAAGGATGTGGCTACTGCAATCAGGGAGGACGCGAGGGATGAGGGGATTGAAGAGGAAGATGACCCGTTATCCCCTCCCATCCATTTTACTGCGGTCGAGGAGCGCCAATTTTGTAGGGAAAGTGTCATGAAGATTGGGAGACGCACTGGAAAATCGGTTCGGGTTGACCAAGCTACTAGCACGGCTGCAAGGCTCGATTATGCCCGTGTCTGTGTGGAATTCGACCTCACCCGACCACTGTTATCTCAATTCAAAATCAACAAGATCAAGTACTTCATCCAGTATGATGGTTTTGAAAAGTTCTGCCTCAAATGCGACACAGCGACACCTACTTTGAACGATCATGCTGCTCTTGTTCGATGCCAAAGGAAAAGGAATCGAAGAGTCCTTACAGGGAATGGATGATAGCAAAGCAAAAGCCCCACTCCAACCACAAAGGTAATAGGCCAAAAGACAAGAAAAATGAACCCCAAATCAGCAGCAGTGAAGAGAACAGAGTCGCAAGGCTCTCCCTACCAAGCTCTGGTTCCTGATGATATTGTGGAAATGGAATCTAGTGAGAACAATGTGACCCTGCATGAAGGAACAAAGACGCCACCCCCTAGGACCCAAGACAGCCTGAAAAAAGGAGAAGCTAAGCGACAAACAGTACGCCAACGTATATGGGAGCTTAGCGAAATTAGCTACAAGGACTCCTAAGTCAGAGGGTGGCGTAGTAAGTACCCCTACTAATGCTAGAGCTGGGGAATCTCGCACAACAGAGACAAAGACAAAGGCTCCATTACAGATCTTACAACGGGAAAAATATTATAAGAGCACTCAGAATATGTTCCTATGGACCAGGTGATCACTCTGTCTAGTACTTTCAACCTATTAGTCAGTACTTTCGATAGGATTTTGTAAAGAACTTTGCATAAACTGATCGGGTGAAAATTCATATGGGTTTCAGGGTGTTTTTTCTTCGTTATAAGGGCTATCAGGTTATAATTCAGTTCAGGAGGGAAAGAACATGTCTCCAAATAACTATGTAGTTTGTTGGTTATCATCTCACCCACTATATCCCAAATTTTTTTGAAAAAAATAAAGCTGACATTCCATCTGCTCCTATAACCTTATTTGCTCCCATTTTTCGTAGAGTAGCTCATATTTCTTCTTTGACAAAGGATCTAAGTAGGACTGAATTCATCTCAGGGGCCACCTTGGGCTGAACTGCTTCCAGAATAGTACTGGAAGTGGTTTGAGTGCTCTTTTTTTTATTAATCTTGGCTAAACCATTAATAGTTTAATACCTTAACCCTAACCCATTACCCTATACATCGACTCTATATTATATACCCTAAACCCCTAATGGTTTTATTGATGAACATATGTTACCAAAAAAAACTTGATCCATATTAGTTATGATTTTGACTAATCCCTGTTCGTGTCGCAACCCTAAATCGAGAGAGTAGAGCACCCTTGACCGCCACCTCTTCCCTCCAGTGTTATCGCCGTTTCTTCCTTCCGCCAGTCGTGAGTACTATTACACTACAGGAAAACTGGTTTTCAGTCACAGTATCTTATTCACGGTAGTGTTTCTTGTACTTAGAGGTATGCTACTAAGCACGATAAAATTCCCCGTAATTAATTTTATAGTTCCAATCACGAGAATTAATTTATCTATTTTTAATCTTCACTTCACTACAAAAAAACAAGTTTCTAGTCACGGGATCTTATTTACGGGAACCTTTCCCATATTAAAAAGTATACTAAAAGTCATGGAATCTTATCAACCAAAATTATTTGGCTCCAAAGTTTCCCACCGCCCAAAATTCATTTTTCAGTTTTTCGCTCAAAGTTTCCCACCGCTCAAAGTTCTCCACCGCCCAAAATTATTTGGCTCCAAAGTTTCCCACCACTTCAGGACACAAAGGGAAAAGCAGACTGGGAAGAGGAGGAAAAGGGAAAGACAGAAGGCGTACTGTGAGGGTTCAGAGGGGTTGAGGCATATTGTTTGGTTGATTGAGGTAATTCATGATTTGTTTTCTGTTATGATCGTCATTTGGAATGTCAATTTGTTTTTTGGACATGTTTTTATTGATATTTGAGGTCTTGAGACAATATGAGCTATCATGAGTCATGTATTCTTGTTATGATCAGACTTTTGTGAACTATTATTAATATTTTTTATGACAGGACCATGATGTTTGGATTTTAAATCTTATAATTATCTTATTATGCTAAATTATTATTTTATAATGTTATGTGCACTATTAGGTTGATGATGTATCTAAATAAATATTTGATGATATTACATGCGTTAATAGGTTGATGATGTATATTATTATACTAAGTTAATAATTGATGATGTAATGATCAGACTTTAGTGAACTAGAATTTCAAATGTCAACTTTTGGTTTATCTTCATTGAATTCCTTCTATTATAGTCGGGCTGCGGGTTGGTCGGGTTACGAGTTCGGGTTAGTCGGGTTGCGGGTTAATCGGGTTGCGGGTGGGTCGAGTTGCAGGTTGGTCGGGTTGCGGATCGTCCGGGTTACGGGTCATTGACTTTTAGTCAAATCGGGTTACGGGCGGTTGCGAGTCGGGTTGATCGGGCGAGTTACTCGGGTCAGGTTACATTTTTACAGCTCTAAATTTATACAACAACGAATGAATGAAAGCTCAATAGGAAGCAAAATGTAACTCTCGAAAACTTTTTTGGATGTGAATGTGGCTGAGGGTGGGAACGTGGATGTGTAAGGGGGATTGGTTCTTTCAACGAATCCTATCCTCTTTGGCTCGCTTACTTGGCGTCTCCATCCAAAGTAGTCGGCTATATTTCTTTGACACAAGGAACTAATAAGGTTTCCCCCTTAACTAAAACAAGTAATACAAGCCAAAGTAACGTACAACAAAGTAGATTGTGGGTGAATAGAGAGCTTGGAATCAGGGCAGCAAGTCAGCTTAGAGAAATCAGAACTTTCTTTTAGCACAAACACAACGGAGAACAGAAGAAACGAGATTGCTGCAATCCTAGGTATGAAGCAAGTGGACTATCATGACAAATATCTGGGATTACCGACTGTTATTGGGCGATCAAAAAATGCAGTGTTCAGTCAACTGATAGACAGAGTTCACAAAAAAGTTGAGATGTGGAAGGGCGAACTCTTGTCTACAGCAGGCAAGGAAGTTCTTATAAAAGCTGTTGCACAGGCCCAAGCAAACTACGGCATGTCAGATTTCCTAATTCCTCAAGGAGTCTTTCATGAAATTTAGAGTTTAATATCAGGCTTCTGGTGGAGAAGGAAAAATGAGGAACGAAGAATACACTGGATAAGTTGGGACAAGTTGTGCAGACCCAAGTCAGAGGGAGGACTTGGCTTTCAGGATCTACATGGGTTTAACTTAGCATTATTGGGACGACAAGTATGGAACTTACACAAAAATCCTACCTCCCTTTTTGTTCAAGTGTTCAAAGCCAAGTATTATCCTCATTGCTCTATTATGGAAGCGAGTGTAGGAACCAATCCCAGCTATATTTGGCGATCATTAATGGCAGCACAGGAAGTAGTGAAAAAAGGAGCAAGATGGAGGATAGGAGTTGTACGAGATGCTACTGGCAATTTTTGCATGGCGGCGATGCAATAGACGCAAACGAGCTGGACACCAGAGCTTGCGGAAGCAAGGGCGATTCTATGGGCATCTCGCCTGGCTTTGGTAAATGGATACAAACCGATCTTGATGGAATCGGATTTCAAAACACTGATTGAAAAATTAGATGCAGAGGTGAGATCGGAGTTGGAGGTGGAAACCATAGGTGAAGAGATAAGGGAGATACGAAGAGAAGAGGAGGAACTGAAATGGTGTTTCTGGGGTAGAGGAGGAAATGGGGCAACCCATCAATTGGCTCGGGCGAAATGTCATTGGGAAGAGACCGAGGTGTGGTTCGTCCGCTCTCCAGTTTTCATCCTAAACCAACTTAAGGCTGATTGTAATGACATTGATTTGATTTAAATAATATCCAGATCCTTTTACAAAAAAAAAAAAAAGAAACATGACCTGATCCTCACCAACTAGAAATTTTCTTCACTAGCTAAGTTAATGATCCGATCAGCTGGCATGTTAATCACACAATATATTATATGAGCAAAACCATTAATCTTTACCTTGGCATCGTTCGAATTAGATTCAAATCCATCTTATTTCCCACAAAATTGATCAGTTCGATGAAACCTGTTGGCCCCACCTGAATGGATCGGACTTGGGGCCTATTTTTATCGACTTAGCCTAAGTCCAAGAGAAGTCAAAACAAGTTCAAAAAGGGGCGCGTAATGATATAGACGGCAAAGAGATCTCCAGAAAGTACGAACGTCCCTCTCTGTCTTATTTCATATGCGCATCTTAGATGCTTCCATCAAGAGTCATGTCGAGGTGCACGAATGTAAAACGGTACGGAGCATTATACGGAGCATTATTGAATAACATAGAGCAATGTCATTGTAATGAAAGTTGTTGAGAATTCTTCGATTATAAACCGGAGGAAAGATATCCACATTAAAAATGGTCGACTTCTCTTTCTAGAGAAAGCTCTTCACTTGTCTCTCGCAAAGGTACTCTCCTGACTTGATCGTCGGAACACTCACGAACCTAGCGAACTCCTGTATTGATTTGTAAAGTTAAGACACCCGCTTCTTCGGGAGCGCAGAGAGGAGGGGCCCTTCATGACACAATCAAAACCCAAAACTACTCCCAACCTGCTTTGTGAGTAGCTGCTCGCTCGCTACTGAAGTAAAAGAAATTAGTATTGCCAACATGAATAGAGTTCCAACTTCAGTACACACAAAATCACAAAACTTTGAGTGCAACTCACTGCACTCATATATGCGTCCATGTCGCTTAGTTTGCTGATATAGATGACTACCATTTCAATTTGACCAGTTTGCCTTACTAGATTGCATTGGTATGGCAATTTTGCCCATATTTCACTATTCGACTCAATTAACTTGCGTATGAAAAATTCAAATAGATGGTAAATGGGTAGAGTTTGATGAATTTATATCCATTTATTTGGGTTGGGTTGGGGTTTTAGTACATGGATATAAGTTTGTACCCATGCACAAATGCAAATTACAGTTCGGTAACTTAATTTGTTGGTTTTACATTTTAATACCTAAAGTTTTTAAATTTTACAAATAGGTTCAATCTTTGTATGTGTAGTTAAAACACTCTCAAGTAAATGAATATCTATATCCAACTCATACCCATTTAAATTATGGAAGCAACATCTATATCTTACCCAAACCCATCTACAAACCCCCAAACCCATATATACTTTATCCATACCCTACTCATTATCAGTGGATCTACTTGGGCTTGCTATAATTACCAATGGGTGGGTAATTGTCATCACTACACACTGATTCATTTTTTCCCAGCAAGCATGCAAATTGCAAGCCTCCAATATATCTCTACAACAAGTCACAATCGCTGACAGCGGTCAAACGGCAGTTTAACTTGCTATCGGCGATGATGATGCGTTGAATACTTGTCGTCGGCGATCATCTGACGGGTCGCTTACAAGTTGTCGGCACCAATTTTTTATATTTTATGCATATAGTTTGTAAAAATTAAATACTGTGTTTCTATTTTTTGTTGAATAATAGTATAATACAATATTATTAAATTTAAATTATAAAAAAATTATTTTAAATAAATTGGAGAAATGTAAATTTTAGGAAACTTGGAAATTGAAATTAATTCCTCATTATTATTAAAAAAGTATAATTCAAATTAGATCTTCATTATTCTCGTTATTTAAAAACAATTATGAAACTCTAAAATTGGAATTATAATATGAAAATTAAATTAGATCTTCACTATTCTCGTTATAGAGAAATATATGAATGTTTTAAAATTTTAATATAGAAATTCATGGTACAAAAACTAGTAATTATTATAGGAAACTTATCAATAATTAAATGTAAATTATTATAATTTGTAAATGTTTTATGGTCACTAATTAATTACAAGGCATCATTGTAAGCATACTATCAATTACTAGGCATCATTATGACCATAGCTAATTCAACATGTATCTAAAATTAAAAATTTTAGCTCACTAACTCTGTTACTCATTTTATGATGTAGAGATATCCATGAACTTGACCAACTTTAAGAAATAGATCTAAGAAAAATTATTGTCTGTCACATTACATTATTTTCAAAATATTTAAAAATGAACTTAATAAATCCACAAATCTATCCTAAACCGTGTAAAATAATAATCAAAACTTCATTCTAAAAATAATATATTAAAATTCTATTAGAAAAAATATGATAATTATAAATTCAAAAAATAATAAAATCACAAAATATTCTTTAAAACCCAAATTATTTAGAAATCTATCATAAAAAATCTTAAATAATAACCAAATGTTTACCCTAAAAATTAACTATGTTATTCATAAAAAAAACATTAACTATGTACCACATCGGTTAAAAACAAAGATTTAAATGGCTTTATTTGGACAACTCAATTATAATAGTTTAAATTAGTTGAGTGTGCCACGTGGATTGGACTTTTGGCCCATTGCCCCATGCCACCATACACACCACTCTAACCCGGGGGTGGCCACCATATAGCCACCCCCATGATGTACCAAAGGGGGTGGGCACCATATCGCCACCCCCAGAACGTGGTTGGGGGGGGGGGGGGGGGGCACCATACCGCCACCCCCAGGAGCCCTAGGAGCTGTCGAGGGGAGTGGCCACCATCCGTCTACCCGCCA